ATATATATATATATATATATATATATATATATATATGTTCCCAAAAGCATCCCAATGTGGACTAGATAAATGATCTTTCTTTCTTTATTATTATTATCGTTTTTGTTATTCATTAAAAACTAGAAAGTCCCAATAGAAACAACAAAAAGAGAGAAGCTTCAGAAAAATACCTTGTTAGTATAAATTGTCCAGTTGGTAAGCAACTCAGACAACATTGCCCCAAGAAGTCCAAACAGAGCACCAGAAGCTCCAACTGATGTATTCCTCTGAATGAATAAACAAGACAATATGCTTCCACCGATTCCTGACAGTAAGTATATCGCCCCTACTCGTACTGCATAACACATCCCCGGAAAGTAAAGGTGAGAATGAATAGATAAAAATGATATTTTGAATTGGCTGACAAATAAGCACTCTAATCATTTAAACTACTGCAAAAGAAGGCCAGGGCAGAACAAATGAGAAGATATTAAAATATAAAAACGGCAGTGTGTTTTCTTCTATTTAAATATTCAAGATTGCTTACGAAATCCAAATTGCTGCTCGAGACGAATTCCAATGAAAACCAAGCTGAGCATGTTTGCAAGCAGATGAATAACACCAGCATGAAGCCAGATGCAAGTTATGAGCCTCCATGCTTGATTACCATGCACTATCTTGTTCCATTCAAGAGCTCCCAATTTGTCCAGTCTAAAAGAAAAGGAAAAAAGAGAATGACATCTGTAAAACTTGAATCTCCTTTGATGACAAGAGTAAATTAAAATCAAACACATAACCTCCTCACGTTTCAAGAGTTTTATTCTCAGGTTAATCAAAGTTGAAAGCACTTTTCAGTAAGAATTAGTTACATTTTGCTAGATTTAAAAGATGTGATCGTGGTGACGTTCGATGCCCTTCCATTTCAAGAAAAGAAGAACACACTTCTCAATGTGATAACAGGGAGAAAGATGAACAAGACAACATAGATAACTGAAGACTTGGATTAAGATGTGTAAACCAAAACTACAAATCGAAGTTGATGATCCAAGTCGGACAGAAAAACAAGCAACCTGTTACATCGGATGGTTACATTAAGATGTCTGGTTTTACAACCCCGTTTTCAATTTTCACACAGAAAAATATCTACAACGAACAAGAAATTCAAAATCTTGCAAGTGCCATGGTCCAAATTCTCAAAGCAGAGCTCTAGCAATCCTATAATCAGAATTCCAAATAAAAAAAGCAGCAAGAAACTAACCCGAAACATGTTCACGAAAGGTAAACGTTTTTCTAACAGAAAACTACAAAATCAACCAAAAAGTCAGGAAAAAGAAGAGCAAGAAGAAGTAAAAGGAGCCGAAAAAAGTATCCTTTAACAATAAAGAGTAAAGGGCACAACTCATGATCAACCAAACAGATAAACACACAACACAAACTAACAAAAAGACCACAATCATAACCGGCCTAAAGAGCAACCATACAAGTACAATGATTTAAAAATTCCAAAGAATGAGAGAGGCACAGAGAGAGAGAGAGAGAGAGAGAGAGAGAGAGAGAGAGAGATAAAGACTGAAACTTTACGTTGAGGAAGAAGGGCCAAAGAGAGGGTTTTCCCTAAGGGGCTGAAAAGAGAACCTCCCAAGAAACCTAGCCACACAAGAACCTTGAAACCCATCATGATTCCTGGGACAGTTGTTGACAAACATGACCACCACAAACATGGCCACGTTAGCCACAACAATCATGGGCACAAGCCAAGAAGTCCACTGGCTGTCCGAATACTCCATATCATACCCTCCCCCGGCATAGTAGCTCTGATTTCTGGTCTTTTGGGCCGCCGCCCCTCTCTCCAGATCTCTATTGCCCATCGTCCCTTCTGCAAACAAAAACTGTTGCGTAAAAGGGCTTTATATAGCTTCAGGAAGAGAATTCAAGAATTTGGTGGGGTGAGAAAATGGGGGGTTGAGGAGAAAGTGGGGTTTGTTTCGTATTGCGATTTGGAGATTATACGAAGGGATCAATTAATTTCTTTTTTTGAAGATCGGTTTTTGAGTTTGATTTATGGGTGCTGTTTTTGAATCTGAAAACTGAAAGTTCGGTTTCGTTTTTTGTTGGGCACACACACGTCTTACTTAACACACAAGGGCCGGGGAAGTTTCATGTGATGCTTATTTAACGCGGTGGTTTTTATGAGTGGGCATTCACAAGTCACAACTGTAATTATTATCTGCAGTTTTGCTATAGAGTCATCGTCTTATAGAGTCATCCATAGTTATTGACAAATGGTGCATTGACACGTATCTTGTAATAAATACACAGTACATAAAGTTATGGATGACTCCATAAAGGAGCCATCCGATTGCTCCATATAATTTTTGTTACTATCTAGTCTAGTTTTAAATGTAACCGTGAAGAATAATAAAATAAAATAGTTTTATTTCTTTAAATTATTAGCAATATAAAACATTGTTCTAAAAATTGGCCTAATTGGTGTTCGGACGCCTTCGATTTGCACAAATCGGCAAAAAAAAAAAAAATCGATCAGGCGAGTAGGGCGGCGCCTACTACTTGGCGGGCTCAGCGGCCAGGCGGGCCTAGGCGGGCTCGGCAGTAATTTTTCAGTTTTTTTTTTTATTTTTTTAAAAACTAATTACATTATTTTGTTCTCATGTTTTCTTTAAAATATATTAATATATTATTTGGACTTTAAGTGTATCTATTTATTATAAGTTGAGATAATTCTATTTTGTAGGTAGTTAAAATAAATAAAAAATAAGGTATTTAATATTGATTTCTAGGCCTGACTAGGCGTCGCCTAGACGCTAGTCGAGTGCCTAGAGGGCGCCTAGCGACTTTTAAAACACAGATATAAAGGTAATTAAAAACATAAATATTCCTCTCTAAAGTATATATGGAGAAAATGAATGATGTTTTTTTTTAAGCCTTTTGAGATATTACAATATTGTTGTTTAATGGGCGGTAAAATTGCTATTTTAGTCATGTTTATTTTGATTCAGTTGCGTTTTTAATCATAAGAATTGAACATTTTTGTTTGGTCCTATGATTTTAAAATTCAACCCAATTTCAGTCATTTGACCCTGAATATGCAACAAAATACTAATTTACAGACTTAAATTGCTAATTTTAGATTTTTTACTAGTAATTTAATTCCTAAAATTTTAGGACTAAATTACAGGACTTCAATCACAAATGACTGAAATTGCAACAAAATACTAAATTACAAAATGAAGGACAAAAAACTTGAAATCTTGAGACTAAAAATTCTATAACGTCAAACTAACATGACTAAAAATGCAACATTGCCTTAATGAAAAAAAAAAAAAAAAAAAAAACTCAAACATGAAACAAAAGCAACATGAAAAATGAAACAAGTTATTTACTGGGTTGACTCATAGTCTTCTTCAATCCGTATAAATAATTAAACATTTGATTATTGACGATTCGTTATAATAATCAGCTTTAAATTTTCTGTACCAACATAAATAATAATTTTTTATTTTCCCAGCTTCAAGATAATTCACATCAAAGTCCACAAAATAAAAATCGATCAAAGTCATGAAGACTAATTGCAATCCAATGTTAGGATCTCGATAATAACTCTCTTATTAATCAAGTTTATTAGTCTATCTTTTTTTTTAATATATTTATATTTGAAATTTGGATTAGTTTTTTAAATATATTATACCATAAATAAATATATGATTGGTCAATCAACATAATATATAGGTTTCTCTATATAAGAATATGTCATACAGACGTGTATTACAATAATGTTCCCCTACTCACGGTGGCACATGCGATACGGAAGTGGTTATTACACCTGGCGAGTCCGAGGATGAGACCAATGATGATCTCGAGATTTGGCTAGAGAAAATGCTCGAGGAGCCACATGGAGGGGATTATCGGCCTTCTTGTAGGTGAGATTGGCCGAGAGGTTGTGGCAATAGGTCAAGGAAAAGGTCAAAGAGGCGCAAGGCCAAGCGAACTAAGGAACCACGCAAGGCGAGGACTAACGTGGTGGGTAATTGGTGCGGGCCTTGTGCAAGGAAGCGACGTGCTTGGCAAATGGAGGCTAGAAGAATGGGCGCACGAGGAGTGGAAGGTGGGTGGAAGATGCGCGCGGGCGATTGCATTGGGTCGCATGGTTGGTGCGAGGAGAGGGTCAGCCCATTAGGCGTGGTCGTAGAGCAAATGGGAGAGTTGCGCGCATCGGGCCTTGATGCGCGCAATGGGCCGACAAGCGGCGACGACGTGCCTTGGGCGTGGGGCGAACGCGGGGCAGCGCTGGGGCACGGGGGTGCGCAGTAGGCGATTGGCACGCGGGCGGAAGCCTAGGCCTAGGAATGGCGAGCGCGCAACAGCACGCGCGCGAGGAAGACATTGGGCGCACGGCGCGCGCGATGGCGCGCCAATGGGGTGCGTACGCTGGCGAAGGCCTAAGCAGGGGAGGCATAGGCGAGACGGGCGACGCGCATACGGGAGAAGACCGCGACCGAGCGGGCATAGGAGTGCTGGCGTGCGGTACCACGCGCGAGAGGAAGGCGGCGCAGGCGAGGCGCGCGATAGCGCACGCGTGCACGAGTGGCGCGAGCGGCGCCGAGTCCGCCGAGAACTAGGACTCACGGGCGGCGCGCACAAGGGCGGTTGGGCTTAGGTCGGCCGACTTGGAGGCATTGGATTGGAGTGCAAGTCAAGTATTAGGAGATCTAGTATTATTAGGAGTTTATTAGCAGGAGATATTTACTTTCCTTGTTGCATTAGAATTTCTAGTAGTATTATGATTTAATATTTTATTGCTTTAATTAGTGATCTAGTTGGAGTAGGATTAGAGGTAATTAGGATCTATAAATAGGGATCATCACTCATTATTTTTCATGTCCAGAATTGATGAATTAATAGAAAAGAACGTTGTGTTTATTCGTGTGTTTAAGCAAGGCCATGAGTGCGTGTTTATCATACAACCGTGTCTAAGAGAAGGCCCTGAGAACGTCTTGAGGTCACACCTATAGTGTTTAGTCGAAGGCCCGAGTGCGCGATTATCCACAAAGCGTAGGCAAAATCACGATCCTCATCAACATATTAATATGTTCACCGCTTATGTGGCATGCACACATTTTTATGTTAATATGTTCAACAAAAATACATCACCAATGTGTGCATGTCACATAAACGGTGAACATATGACCATGTGCCACCGTGGGTGGCGAAACATTACCTACGTGTATTGTATTGTATATAAAGAATTTCTATATAGAAGGACCATTTGCATTTAACACGCTTTTCGGTCGATAAATAAAAAACGCGTTAACCATTTGGTGTCCCATTGCCTTCTCATGAGCTACTTCCACATTAAATAAAAAATAAATTAAAAAATATATATATATTAATATATATATATATACAATTGAGAGTGACGATATTGCGACATTGGCAATATTAAAAAAAAAAAAAAACTATATATTATAGGTGGCTTGTAGGTTTTCGTGTTTTCTTTTAACATATGATACACGATTGAGAGTGATTTTGGTAATGAAAAGGACAATTTCCAACTTTTTTTTTTTTTTTTTTTTTTTTTTTTTTTTTTTTGGTCTTTAAGTTCGTGACTTTAACTCAACGATATTAGTGTTGCCAGAAAAATATAGGTGAACAAGCTGTTATTTTCCTACTGATAGCATACCTTTGTATTGGGAAAGAAGCTGAGCATAATAAGCAATATGACATGGCCACGGGCCGGGCCGTCGTCTCGGTCCCGGCCCGTAAGTTGCCGGTTCCGAGAACTAGCACCGTGGTTTTACGGGTGGTTTACGGGTCCCTTTTTTTATTTTTTTGGTCCCGGTGGTCCGGGACCGGGCCGGGACATGACCGGTTCGACGTGCCGGCCCTTGGTTTTTGGCGGGCCGATTAAGAGTCACCCATAGAAATCTGTTCAGTCCAGCGGGCCGGGCAGGGCCACGACTCGCCATGTATAATGATAAGTTCATAATAATATAATTATTTTTACATATCACATCAACTTTTAACTAATCATCACTTCACATCGATCTCTCTCGTACTTTTATATCAAATTAATTAAACTCTCCTATTTTTATATCAAAGTGACAAAAACTCGTTTTGAAAGAATATATTTTTATATAGACACAGACTGAGATTCCCAGGGTATAACAGGCTGGCCCAAATTAAAGCCACATGTTACTCAACAAGGAGCCGTATCAAATGGACCAAACCACAATAGCGATTTGGGCCGAACCCAAATAAGACAAATCTCAAAAGACCTGTGGCTGAAAAACTCTGAAAGCCATACACAGGATATAGTTAAGGAAGTCCCATGTTCCAGATTTTGTCAGCTCAACAAGGCCCAATGGACTAAATTCAAGTTTCACAACATGATGAAGGTAAAATGACACAGAGATTATCAAGAAACATATAGAGCTCAATCAGTTAAAGAGAGAACAAAATGGTACTTGTAACAAAAAATTCCATGTCTCACTTGTCTCGTAAACTAATGCTTGCAACAAAGAACAATAGCATGTCAATAACAAGTTTGGTACAAAAGATAAAAGTAACATAATAGAATTCAAGGCGGTCGAAAATCGAAAATAGAATCAACGCTTGCCACCACCACCGCCAATCTTAGGACCCTTCGATCCAGCACCGCCCTTGGGCAAATTGCCCTTGCTCGTCTTCTGCTTGGAAATCAACTCCGCCTTTTTAGCTTTCTTCTCGTCCTTCGTTTTCTTGATCCTCTCCTTGATTTCACTAAAATATAGAAAATGCAAAATGTCATGAATCGGTTTTCGCGAATAGGCAATATATCCGTACAAGAAATAAGAAAAATACCGTAAAGCGGCTTCACGTGCAGCATCACGGACTTCAGGCTTTTCAGTTCTCCTCTTCTGGATGACTTCCAATGTGGCACCGACAATGGACCTCGAGTAGGGTTTTTTCGTGGCCCTACGCCTCTTCTTCACAGCTTCAGCAGCAATATCCTACATATTTACCAAAAAATTATGTAAATGAATAAATGTAGGGAAAACATGATAATAAGAGAAGAAAATCAGGTTTTTTTCACCTTCTTGTGCTGTTTACGGTACATGGCGGTCCATGTAAGCTTCGCAGGCCTCAGGCGGTTGTGGAAGTACCTCTTGCATTTCGAGTTAGCAAAGAGGAAAACCTAAAAACATACCAAGAAAATCACAAATGATTAAAAAATTGACTGACTTTCCAAAACAAAACTTGCAAGGTCAAACAAATAAAACTACAATATGGCTCAATGCTACACACCTGAGAGTCTGAGCGAATAAATCTGATGCCTTTGCCAGGGTATATCTTGGCACCACTGAAACGGCAAAGCTCTGTCCTGATAATTCAAGATCAAAAGATATACTGCATTAAGGCAAAAAGCAATGAAGAAACAAAATCACACATGTACAGAAATGTTGAATTATGAGACAATAAGCGAAAGCCAACTGTTAAATGCAAGCTAGACCAAGAAAACTGTTAAGGTTAGATCATTTAGCATATTGAAACAGCATTAACAGTAAACCATATTGCCGATGAGAGCAACGAAAGAAACCGAGAGAGAATTCCAAGTATACTTCAATTAACGCAAACAATCAACATTTTTCTGATCAAATAAGTAGAGTGAAAAGGCAGAATCAATTTAAACACAAATAGTCAGCCATTATCCAAACAGAGCTCATCAAAAAGCGTTAAGGCACAAAAAAATCGACAGAACCCACATTAGCAAATCATGCCTCTAAAAGTGGCTCCTAATCCCTAAAATTAACTGTCAGTGGCATTATCCAATTTCACAAAAAAGAAAACAAAAACATTTGCTCACAAGTAACAAAATTTACTCAAAAATCTAACCAGAACAGTATAAATTGCAACATAAAATCTACAAACTGCTTATAACGTTGCGCAATTAAAGTTAAATTATCAAGAAGAACATCATATTGTTATAAGAAAACTGGCAACACACTAATCAAAAATCGAATTTTAAACTACAAAAGTGAGATCATCAAAAGCTAAAATACAGTAATTTGAGAACACTAGTGCACGCAGTGAATAAAATCGGGTGAAAATATTTACTTGAGAACCATGGCTGTCAGCTATGGAGTCCGCTGCGCTTCCTTCTTCCCTGCAGATGACCTCTGACGAAACCCTAAAAAGCCCTAGTGAGGTTTTATATACCGGGAAATGCTTATAAAGTTTACTATTGTTTTCAAGCCCAATGAGGCTTACTGTGAGTATTGGCCCAATGGGTCTCAATATTTGCTATGTGAGCCCAAATGTCTTTTATACATGAGTAATGCTACATTGTCAACCTAGTGTACAACTAGGTTGACAACACAAGTAAAAAACATACATAAAAATAAAAATAAAAAAAAATATAAAAGTGGATGTTTTCACTTGTGTTGTCAACCTAGTTGTACACTAGGTTGTCTATATATCATTTTTCTTTATACTTCGTGAAAAATATGCATGACTACATGCACAATATTATTATTGTTATGAGTGTTTTAAATACCGTACCGGTGGCCATACCGGTCTAGCCGCCGGTACGCGGTATTACCGGTCGGACCGGTAATATCGGCGATATTACCGGGTTAGCAAATATAATGCTATATATAAATCCCCCTATATATTAATACAGAATGCGCTGAGCCTACGTGGCTGCTTCTGGTGCTTCGGAATCCTATGTGGCAAAATTACATGCTTCGTTATTAGGCTTGGGTAAATTTTAATTTAATTCCAAACAAAAAATAATTAGGTTCGGATTACCATAAATATGTTGATTATTTATGGTCATGTTACATGTATTAATTGTATTTTAATATCAGTCCTTATTATACTATTGAACTGTATATATATTTTAAAAGCTAATAACTTTTGTATTTTTTATCAGTTTTACATATGTAATATATCAAATTAATCTTCTTTTGATGAGCTTCGATTTAACATCCATATTGTATGTATAAAAAAAATAATTTATATTTATCTTTATAACAATAATAAAATTATATTTAATATTAATTAGAAAAATAAAATTATTTATCAACTAATATATTTATAATTCAAGTGGTATATGATATAAGTAGCACTGTCAAACGGGCCAGTGGCCCGCGGGCTGGCCCGCCCGCCCGCTTAAACGGACGGGCTTGGGCCTTTGCTTGGCCAGCCCGTTCAATCGCGGGCCTATTTGGCCCGCCCCGTTTGGCCCGCGGGCTGGGCGGGCTGGCCCGTTTTTTTTTTTTTTTTTAAAAAAAATATTTAAATGTAGTATTTTTTATTTTATTTCTAATTTCTATCTTGCACATGAAACATTTTTTTTACATAATAAAAATATTAATAAATCAAATAATATTTTATGTCAATTAAGTCGTTTTTGCGCGTGAATACCCTATAACTATTGATAAAAAAAATAAAAATAAAAACTAGATGACAAATATTTAACATCATTACACATGAAACCTTACTAGTTTATTAATATACTAGTAAATATTAGAATAAACAAACCAAAAAATATATAAGAGTGCAAATACCATTAAAAAAAACCAAAAAAAAAAAACCCGCGGGCGGGCCAATTTGGCCCGCGGGCTAATGCGGGCGGGCCACGGGCTATGTATTTTCCAGCCCGCAGAAATGCGGGCCATTTTGGCCCGCCCCGTTTGGACCGCGGGCCAGCACGGGCCGGAGCGGGCCGGGCCGGACCGGCCCGTTTGACAATGCTAGATATAAGTTATAAAAATTAATATAATATAACACATGTAAGTCATAAGTAACACATATCATTCTAAAAGATATAGTAATATATTTTTTTTTTGTAAAAAAGTAAACTAAATTTAATATAGTTTTTTCATTAATTTTAAAAATTAAAAATAATTTTTTAACAAGCACCCGTGACCCGTGTAATACACGGGTGTTGTACTAGTATACATAAAAATATATAATACCAAATGCAAAAAAGTAAAAATATAAATGACCATAATCATTAATTTCAACTTCTCAATAAGATCAAAATAAAATATTTTAACTACAAATTTAAATTTTATTATTTTAAATTAAAAAAATTATTTTTTTTATTGGCCGATATTTTAGACCGGTATTTTGCAGTTTTTACGGTATGATCCCGGTATAACCGTAAATCCAGTATTTTGAGTGTAATTATACCGTACTAATGGCCGGTATCCGGTATTACCAGCCGGTACGGTACGGTATTTAAAACATTGATTATTATTATTATTATTATTATTATTATTATTATTATTATTATTATTATTATTATTATTATTATTATTATTATTATTATTATTATTATTATTATTATTTTATGATTTTAGTGCAGAGCATGTGCGAGTGGTGGACAACTTTAAGTCTATTTAATCATTCTTGTTATTATACTCGTAAACTAGTACAACGCCCGTGTATTACACGGGTGCTTGCTAATTTTTTTATTAAAATCTAAAATAATGAGAAAAAAGTAGTTGAAAATTTAAATACTTTTTATAAATATATATTATTATATATTTAGTATAACACTTTTTAATTGTGCAACTTACATGTGTCATATTATAATAATTTTTTTTAACTTACAACATATAACTACATTAAACATAAATATATAAATTGAGAAATAATTTTATTTTTCTAATGAATTTTAATAAATATTATTATTTTTTATTATTATAAAGATAAATATAATTTATTTATTTCATATATACAATATGGATGTCAAATCGAAGATCATCAAACGATAATTAATTTGATATATTATACATGTAAAACCGATAAGAAATACAAAAGTTATGAACTTTTAAAATACATTTATAATTCGATAGTTAATTGAAGGAAACTCAGGGATATATTAGTCACTCAGTGCCTCACTATGTAAAATTATAAATAAATAAAGGATTATGTTAGTACAAGTGATATTACAATACCTAAGTTAACTAAATAATATTTATGGAATGTCCAAACCTAAATTATTAATTATTAATATATAAATATTATTTGTCCAAACCTAATTATGAAGCATGATTTTTTGACAAGTAGGATTCTGGAGCACCAGAAGCTGCCACGTAGGCTCAGCGCAATAATTTATGAAATGTCCAAACCTAAATTATTAATTATTAATATATCAATATTGTTTGTCCAAACCTAATTACGAAGCATGATTTTTTGACAAGTAGGATTCCGAAGCACAAGAAGCTGCCACGTAGGCTCAGCGCATTCGAGAATAATATATAGGGAGGATAATGAAAATTAAATATATAGAATAAAATATTATTATATATTATTAAAAACCTCCTTGTAGATAACATTTATTGTCTAGTAGGCACACTATCCGAATCATTTATTTAATTAAAAAAAAAAAGAAAAATTTGTGCCAAAAAATAAAAGAAAAAAAATTGATGTGGACAAGAATCAAACGGACGGATTTTGGAAATCCGTTTTTCTTAAAAAACGGATTTTCAA